AACAGTGTGAGAATCACTGCCCTAAGGATATATATCGGTCCACGCACGCACAGACTTTTCTCAAATACTGGTTTAGATTAAACTAACTCAAACAAGACCCTTCATATCCATATATTAATCCAACATAACTTTAAAACAATTTAAACAAGACGATTTTTTGTTCTACCAATAAGTTTAAGTTTCCAAATCTTAATACTTGTTTCCTTTATATAGTCATTCTACTGCTCAAAAAGACAACCAATAGGAACTCTTTTAGCAACTTAACAGCTCTGGGTCAAAGATCAAGTCCTCTTTATTACTCTATACTCTACTTTCCATGGAATATAACTTCAAAATTCTAAGTCTTAAACAAGGTTTATCCTAACAGCCCGTCTCTTATCTCCTTGTTACCTTTCTAGTAATAAAGCAATCAAAACTGAACATAGTATTCTAAAAACAAACAAAACACCAGCACAATCTTTTCCAATGTTATAATAACCTATTGTTATTAAATTCTTATAAAGTAAACAAGGAATCTTGTTTGCTCTTTTCACGACAAAACGCTTGGTTTGCTTTGAATTTCGCGCAAAGCTACACGAGGACTATCTGCGATAGCCGTCCATAATTTAGCAGTGAAACACTAGAGGTAAGGCACCTAGTCATCACCACCCACCGCCAACTCTTGGGCTATTATTTCACCAACGAATAATGGGATTGACCGTCACATTACAACGTCCTCACGGCTGAAAGGGCGAGCTTGTTTGGTGTGACGGGGATTCGAACCCGCGACCCTCAGATTGCGAGTCGAGCGCCCTAACCACCTGGCCATGACCTAATCTTTTCTCATACATTCTGGATTTCAATACCACTAGTGCATAATTTGATCAATATTACAACTCATCTCCTACTCTCTGTACAAGTCACGATTATTTTAACTTGGTCAGGGTTGAAATAATGCATAACACACTTTAAGCTGTGCTTGCTTTATAGTTAATTTACATATTTACCAGCAGAGAGAATTAATCGTGCAATTTAAGAATGGCAGGGTCGTTTTACCGCAGATGCAAGTCTTGGTGAGAAACATATTTATATATTTGGTTCAGGGTGAATTTCTGACCAATCGATGAGCTGTAATGCTGTCAATG